ATTCAACATGTTGAATGCAAGCGATCAGCCGGTCGTATGGGATCGCGTGCGAAATACGCTGCCGTGAGACCGGACACACCGCGCGGACCCGGCACCGTATTTATCGATCGCAAGCGGCCAGCGTAGAAAATCGCACAGTGTGTCCTAGGCTTTAGTCAAAGAAACGAGGAGAGCGAAGTACGCGAGTTTTCATCACACTGTACTCGGTTAATTTATGGCTGTAAACAATCGTTCATCAATTAAATGGTCGACTCTGTGGCTTGGAAATGTATGTCATCCCAATTAATCACAACAAACACATGTAGAGATGGGGCACAGGATTGCAGGATGCGGATTAGCTTATTTTAATTATCCGAGTATCTGGAACTAAGAAATACTATAGTACTACATTAATTTTTTCGTGGTTTGGGAATAGAAGTTAATCCTATTTGATTGTCATTAACTAGGAGCTGGCACATAGTGGGCCTAGAGTTGGCAGGGGTGTAGTTAACCCATTTTGCTTGGTGGTGGGGGGGCAAAGACACATGCAGGTAGTGTTCTGCATGGGCAGGTGACCATGGTCAATTTTTTACCATTGACCATGTGACTGCATTTCTCTGGGCCCCCCTCCCAGCTACTGCCCTGGTTGCGTTGAGTGCCAGATGTTTAACTAAAATAACATACCATTTTTAATGCTAACATCATATTTCTATGTTAGGCAACTACAGGGCATAGTAGTGTAATAACCACAATGCACATCTTCTACATAATATTATAGGTTCGTGCCACAGCAAACTCCATTAGTGCTTCACTTACATACATGTATGTGGTGAAAACAACCAACCAAAATAACTTTTGTATGTTATGCCCCTAATCTGATTTGAAACCATTCTGTTGTTGTGTCATGGAAAAGATTACGTGAGATTAATATCCATGATTGTATCTGTCAGGCTAGTGCTTAGTGGTGAGCATTAGTGAGGTTTATAACCAAATAAAAAACCATTGCTTTCTCTACACAAGGTTAAGAAGCTACTTGTGTTAATCCTGGTTACAGGGCTATGTTATCATATATACGTTATTGTATTTAGTCTTGGTGTGTCACTCACTGTATGTCACATAAACGAGTACTTACGCTGAGAGGGTCTGTGTCCCCCAGGGTACTGCCGGAACGTACCCTGGTACTATCTAATATGCCGGAACGTACCCTGGTA